TTCGATGTCAAGATCTGCGGTCAGTCTGTATGCAAAGAAGAAATAGTCAAATTAGCTTCAGAAGAATTTAAAATTTGATGAAAATATCCGAAAATTGGATTTTGGGAAGTTAAAAATTGTCATAGTTAAGAAACGGAAATTTTCAAAAATTTGACTGATAAGGTAAAAGACCCAGTTATTGACACTGGCCTATTTGTTTGACACTTGCAATTTTATTCTAATTAAAAAAATAAAATGTTCTCAAAAAATTAATACTCTTAAAATTTATAATTAAAAAATTATATTTATTAATTTATTAGAGTTGATTTGTTTTTTTTAATAAAAATAAAATTGCAAGTGTCAATAACTGGATCTTTTACCTTAGTTATGAGTAGACATCACATTAATATCTTCGACAACTACTATAATTATAAATCTAATAAGGTTTCTTATAAAATTTTTTCCTAAAAATAATAAAAATCTTGTATGCTATTTTTCATAAAATATATAAAACATAAACAAAAACTATATATATTGAATGTGAGTAGAGACCAAGGGTCAGAAATCATAAATACTGTAATAATATTGTAATAACTATGTTAATTATACTTATATGATATCAATAAAAATCTTTGAAAACTGGAAAATTAATATCTTCGTTGGCATTATTATAGAATTTTTAGAATTTCAAGTTAAAAATACCTTATAAGTTTTGGTAATTTCGACAATTAATATCGCAAAGTTTTCTGTGGCCCCAGAAGTCAATTTTTAAGATTCTCGAGTTTTAAACAGTCATACAATTTTTTTAAATGTAGTTGAGGAATCAGCTGAACTTAATATAAAAAAATTACATTAAATTAAAGCTACAAATTTTGTATGAAACTTTTTACTCTTATAGTATAGTTTTATTAGAGATATCGAATATCGGAGAACAAACATGTTTAGTATTTATACCAAAGTTTGTTGAAATTACGCAAGATTTATTGAAAATATTTTGCTATCTGGTCGAAAGAATTTTTGTTTTTTCACTTTTATTTTTCTGTCTTATTAAACAGTTATTTCAATATATGAATTAATAAATATTTTTATTTTCGCGAAATTTCCGATATAAATGTCATTTTTTTCGCGCAAAACACACACTTGAATCAACCAGTTACACAATATCAGAGTGAGTGAATAATAATTAATTTCTGTGTAATAAGTTTTCTGCCTTTAAAAATTTGATATCACGGTAATTATAATAAAAAAAGTTTTACGCAAAAGCTATAATTTCAAGCTAAAAAATCTCTTTTTTGAAATAAAATTTGTTTGATTTTCCATTTTAAGTTAAAAAAAAAAAAGACCATTCGGCAGTCGAAATGCAAGTAGATTTCATCATAAATAAAAAAAAATAATGGATTTTTAGTAAACCGGCGATTAAAAGCTTATTTCACCCTAACTCCGTTATTTGTTTACTTACTGCTAGTGTACAGTAAAGAAAAAAACAAAAAAAAACGACTGCAATAGCAAATTTCATAATTGGCATAGCGGAATAGGACATAATTTTGGGACTACACATATGATATGGTACTCAAATTGAAGCTTATTTAAAGAGCTTTCATATGCAATTTACAGAAATTCGATAAATTATCCCATTCAAAAGTTATTTAAGTACGAAAATGAAGAAATGGAAATTTTTATAATTTTTCATGATTTTGAAAATTTTGAAATCATGGCATTTCTAAATTACTTGACCGATTAAGCTCATCTTCGAACTTGGCCTCGGTATCTATCTGTGAAATAAGTATGTTGAGTTTGATAAAGATCTATTGTAAATTGGCGACGCTATCGTGGTGACAAGCCGCGTTATATCGTGTATATATATAAATATATATACATACATATATAAACTTTTAATTTTCATGGTAAAAAATCTTAAACAAAATAATATTTGTTTGATGCCGTAAGATGGACGGCGGAGTTCATAAGATGGTTCACCGTTGCAAGCATGTAATGTGTGTTATCCATACATGCTTGTAAACTTGTAATTGTATTTTTCTGATCTTTAGAACTATATTCTCAGAAAACAGAACACCTGGAAGAAATTTTCATGGTAAAAAATCTTAAACAAAAAAAATATATAAACTTTTGAACCATATGTATTTTCTGATTCAACTCGTCGAATTAAGTCGGAATATAGCAAAATTTTTCGAAAGTTACGTCATGAGGACCATTGCAATAGTTAGATTTCTCTGAAATCTACTAAAAAAATGTATACATTTTTTAAAAATGAAAAAATGGTAAATTATTCAAAGAAATTGCTTTTTGAGATAGCCATGCTGAAAATTTTTGAAATCAAAAAATCCACAGCAAGTTTTGAAGCTGACTGACACTTTTAAAAATGCAAGCGAAAAAATAACAATTAGTTTTAGAATTTTAATCCTCCGTCAAAGTTTTATCCATATCTCAGAAATTGTTTTTTTTTTTTAACTTTTAAAATTTTTATAAAATAAACTACTGGTTAAAGAAAAAAAGGTTTCAAACAAAAGTTGTATCTTAAAATCTCCTCATTAAGATAATATTTGTCTGATTTCTTAATTTTGATTATTTTCAGCAGATAATAAATAATTCAATATAAAATGTCGAAATTATTCTTCATGGTTTTATCAATCTTATTTCTCGTATGGAAAATTACTGCTGGTTGTGGTGAAGTCGGTGATGAGGTTAGTAGAATTAAAATGGAAACAAAAAAATTTTATTAAAAGTAAAATTTTAGGATTGTTAATTAATTATTAGATCATTTTATAATTGCAGTGCGATGAATATTATCATGAATTTGAAGAGTGTTGTAAGGGGCTAAGATGTCTAGATAGTAGTTATGGCAACTTTGCGTGTCAATATGGCTGAAACTTAAATATGTTATTGCAGATTTTGAGAACGATAGTAAAAAATAATATTTACGATAATAAAAAAAATATGCACTTGTAATTCATTTAAATTTCTAAATTTTTTTTTAAATCATTTAGTTATCATAATAATTAAAAAAATTCACAGATGTCTGTTAATTTCAATATCATTTAATGAATAAATGAAGACAACAATTTTACCGACTTAATAATGTTAGATAAGTATATTTAAATCTTAAACTAAATTCGGCTATTCGCACTTCACTTATGTTTTATAAAAATTCCTTTACTCTCACTTTTCAGAACTCAATACATTTAAGATTCAAAATCTTATTGGCTTTATTGGATTATGTGTATCGAAAGAGCTTGAATATTTAGTAATATTTGTTTATAAAATTAAAAAAAAACGAAATAATTGATAATACCTAAGTAATTAATTATCAAAAAACAATCATGAATAAAATAGTAAAAGACCAATTAAATAATCAATCAATAAGTGTGATAATTTATCAAGAAAATAAATTCTTAAAATTACGGATAAAATTGATTCTTAGATCAAATGGGAATCAATTTTTTAATTTTTAATTATTACTAATAAATACTATATTACTAAGTTTTGAATCTATTTTTTACTCTCAGCTGAATAAGAGTACAAAATAAAACAAAATTCAAAATTTAAGGTATAGTAGATTTTTTTAAATGTTGGTGACCAGGGCGACCCCAAGCTCCCCTAATTATCAAAAAACAATCATTGATAAAATTCCAGAAGATCAATTAAATAATCAATCTAAATAAATTCTTAAAATTATGGATAAAATTTTATTTTATTAATAAATTTTTTTATATCAAAAAATTATTTGCAGGATTAAAAATTTGATGATATTAATAATAAATTGGATAATCAAATTAATACTCTAAAAGTATATATATATATATATATTATTGAAAGTGTTAAATTAATGAAAAACTATTTGATGGAGAGAAGGCAAATGATAAATAAATAATAGTTATAATAAACTAAAAAACACGCTTTTTATAAAAAAAAATTAAACAAAAAAAAATTTTAATAAATACAAATTAATAATAGTGTGTATAAGAAAAAAATTCTTTATTGTAAAAAAAGCTTGGGGTGTATAGTGTCAATAGTTATAAATATTTCATTGACAGATATAAGAAGGATTATTACTTCGATAATATCTTAAAAAGCACCCCGCGCTTTTTTTAAAATAAAACATTTTTTTCTTCTTTACACTATTATTAATTTATATTTATTTTCTATTTTTTAGTTTAGTTTTTTATAAAAAGCGTATTTTTTAGTTTTTTTTTTTTAAATATTTTTTAGTTTTTTTAAACTATTATTTGCTTTGTTAAATTAAAATTTTTTTTGGTGTTTGAAAATTTGTTAATATTAGATAAATTGATTAAAGATAATGATTGGAAATTAAAATTCGTATGTATAGCTTATTAAAAATTCTTCAGTTAGTTAAATACTAATTTATTAATTTAATTTTTTTTTTTTTGCAGAAGTTACTTCTAATAATTTCGATCAAAATGACGATATATTTATTTATGACATTAAAGTTAGCAGTAACTAAAGAATTTTTTAATTTTTTTTAATCAATTAAATTTGTTAAAAAAAAATTGCATTTTTTATTTTTTAAAATTTCTACGTCAATTTTTTTTTTCTTCTAATTTATTTAAAAAAAAATTAGAAAAATTATTAAATATCTGCTAAATTTATTTTTATTATGTATTTTTATTTAGTTTTTTTCTAATATTATTTGTCGACATATATATTTATATATCTTTGTCTTAATATAAATAATAATAAAGAGCAATATAAAAAAATTTCAGTAAAATTATAAATCTTTTGTTCATAATTTTTTTCTAGTTTAAAATTACTTTAAGAAATAGCTATTGAAGATTTTTTTGTGAATATAAATGTAAGTTTAAAAAATCGCGCCTTCATGTCTTTTTTGATATACTTTTGCGTTTTAGAGCGGAAATAAGTATATCTTGAAGAAAAAAAATTTCGGTAAAACGCACATTGTTCGTTATGTAAGAAATAGACAGGTATAATCAATTGAAAATAAATAGATATAATTAATTAAAGTATACTAAAGGCAAAAATATTCAATGGAATCAGATGAAGAATTGAGTTTAATTGTCGAAGTTGAAAGTCCGAGTTTTGAGGTAATGATATATTATAATTATTTTTATATTTTTAAAATATAGATTGTAGTAGATTTAAGAATAGAGTCTTTTTACAGGTTTGTTCTGAAACTTGTTGCAATGTAATAGAAGACAAACGTGAAAAATGTGAGTTGACTGGGAGCTATCACTCAAATATAATTAATCTTACTGATGCTGTAATTAGTGACAAATTGTCTGATGCTGGTAGTAGTTCGTCGATTGGAAAAATAGAAAATTATGAAATTTCTGGTATGTATATCACATTTTGTAAGAACATTTATGAGTGTTATACTGAGAAAAAATTTAATTTTTAAAAAATGAGCAATATTTTGATGAAAAATTAATTTTTTTATTAATTTTAAACAATTCTATTTCTTATCTGAAGAAATAAAAATTTTTTTCAAAGTGAATTTCTTATTGAAATAATATGTTTTCTAGATTTAAAAAAAAACAAGTTTGGAGTAAAATTTGCAAATTGTCTATCTAAAATTTTTTTTCAAAAAATAAAATTGTTTAAAATTTTCACCGAATTTATTGTTTTTTTGCAAAATTGCGCATTTTTTTCTCTTAGTGTGGGACGATAATTGAAATATTAGCAATCTTGCAGTCACTATAAACTATAAATAAATAAAATTTTGCATTATTAAATAATGACTTTTGTTAAATTGCACTGTAATTTTTTAATTATTGACATTTTTAAAGATATAAGCTCATTCTGATGTTACACTCATCAAGAGCTTTCATTTGAGTACCCACATGCATTTTGATATATTTTTCATATATACATATATATAAATATATAAAATATATGAAAAATTGATGTGGGTACTCAAATGAAAGGTCTTGATGCGTGTAACATCAGGATGAGCTTATATCTTCAAAAATGTCAATATTTAAGAATTGACACTGCTATCTTGTCAACTAATGACATTTTTAAAGATATAA